GTTCTGATAATTTATGTACAGCACAGTTATATGGTAATTGTATTTAATAATAATTATTAATAAACAGTACATAGCACCTTTCATCTGAGATGGGTAAATGTTAATGTCCCCATTCTACTGATGGGGAAATGAGGCTCAGGGAGGTTGAAGGACGTGGCTGAGGTCACACAGGAAGTCAGGAGTAGCTGACCCAGAGAGGCTGGTAGGAAACCCAAGAACGACGGCCAAATTGTCCGACACTTGCATTTCAGCTGGTTTGCTCTAAAGTGGCAGAGCTAACCCTGAGACCTGCTCTGCAGACCCACGGAAGGAAGCCAAGGGTTTGGATGCTGTGACACAGTTTATGTCACTGCCAGAGGAAATCATGGAAACCACATTGCTTGAAATATTTACAGCTAGCATGGATAAACCACTTGGAAGACCTTCATCAGGCAATAATCCCCTATTGGTCCCGGTGGTGATTAGCTTAGCTTAATGGTCTCTTCTTTTCCTTAGCTATGATTTCCCTCAAAATGGCCATCCTGACATTTTTTACACCCTGATTTACTTTAATCTTCTACCCACCCAGGGGTTGACCACCCTTTGTGTCTCTTCCTACTGGCTGGCTCCAGCAACTTGAACAGCCTGCTACTCTGAGCAAAAGAAGTGACTCCTTTAGCTCAAGTGGTTTTCATGCTGAAGGTCCTGGGTTTGCTCCCTGTTCATGGGTGTGGTGTCTCCATGTGATTTATTACAGATATATTCCATATGTAGTCCTTATAATGTTTGATTGTCTTGCATCCAAGCAAAGAGTTGAGTATGGTGTTTGCCACAGTGAGGCCTCCCGGCTGCCAGCCTCACTATGGCGAACTATGGTGTGGGGAGAACCTCTTTGGTGCCATGGTCTCACTGTTCCCCTTTGCTGGTGCCCAGCCAGCAGGGAGCCCCTGGGACAGGAGAGAGTGAGGTGGAGGAGGAAGCCGCAGGGAGCCATCAGGGACCATGTGGGGGGACAATCTGGCTTCTGGGAGCACATAGATGGACAGGGAGGTTGATGGGAGGCTGAAGGGGATGATGGGAATTTGAGGTAGCCTGAGTTAAATTATTCCAAGACTCCAGGCTCCCACCACCGCTCGCCCCAATCCTGTCGTTTACCTTGGTAAAAGTGGGGTATGATGGGAGAAAGTTTTAGAGCCAACTGCATTGGACTATGTAAATGACTGCCTCCATCAGCACCTTGGTAACCTGGTACTGTCTTGGATCACCAGACTTAGGTGGAGTTTATGCCCGGGGGAAGGGGACTTTTCCCTGTGTACATACCAGCTTACTCACAAGAGTAGATCAATGAAACCACCTGTGATATTTTGTTCCATCTCCTTGAACCACTCTGAGTCTGTCTCTGGTGCCAGCACGTTGAACTCATTTGCACAACAGTAGGAGAAAGAGAAGAGAGACACTTGGAAAAGAGATGCCAAACGAGATGAACAGGCTATGGGCCTTCCAATCCCTGGAGATGGTTGTCTTCAGCTCCAGCTTGCAGTGCATTAGTGAAGAAGCCGCTGCCCGTCCTGTGGATAGATAAGGGCTTTCCGTCTCCAGGGCTGTCAGTCTGGCATCCTTCACCAGCAGCATTAAATTCACAAAGAAAAAGAGCGAGGAAAAATCTCCTCTCCTAAAGTTAGAGCTTGGTGTGTGAGAGGCTAGATAGCCCTGCCTGCGTGAGTCACTGCTGTTAGCTTCTCACCTCACACCTCCCTGGTGCGAGCACTCTCTTGTGCTTCATCTACCTCCTGCCCTAAGTATAAGTGAGACCATGCTGCAGAGCATCCACCCACTGAAACGTAGAAGGCCACAGTCTGTGGAAACTAGCCCCACTGTGTGAACGGGGCACAATGCTGGGAATCGCCCTACAAGGAATAGTCCTGTCGGTAGAGAGCTGCTCTACTCTGTGGCGGGATGCCCAGACAGCTCTTTCCTTCTGTGACGCTGTGAGGGATTCTGGGTTGTCACTGGTGTGAAAATAACAATTTTGCTAAATAAATCGGAAGGTTTATTTAATGCCAGCCACCCCCGTCTCTGGGTCCTTCTGTGCTCTCACCTAGAGCTGGATGAAAATTTTCTAACACATTATTTTTAATGGAAAATGGCTTTTGGCTTTAACAGAAATTTGTGAACATTTTGGGGTTGTCGAAAGCAGTTGTCGAAAACTGGAAAACTTGAGAATTTGTTGACTTTCAGTTTTGTGCCAAAACAAACCAACCAACAAAGAAAAATGTTTAAGAAAATGTGTGTGAGGCGGGGTGTGTTTTTGTTGAAAACTTTAATGGAGGGGAAAAATAATCTTCCCCACTGTGACTGTGAGCAGATACACGGGCATAGTCCTCTGTTTCCACCAGGCATCTACACTTCACCACCAGGAAAAACCTTTCCCAAAGTGCCCTTGTCTGCAGTCCAAGTGGCTTGGGTGGCAGCTGCTTAATCATACCAGAGAGTCAATGAGAAGTGAATTGAGGTGCTCCTTCCTCCACCGCTTGTCCAAACTCAGCCAGCAGTGGAGAACAGGAGACCTGGGATTCAGTTTTGCTCTTGCATGGGGCAGTGTTATAGCATATAACCTTAGGATTAAACATCTTCCATTTGTGGCTGAACCTGGCAGAGGTCACTGTAACATGTCTCCAGGGACTGTATCTATGATAGTTGATTACGTGCAACTTCCTCTGCTAGTCAGTGTTGGCTGGAGGCTGTCACAGCATCTAACCTTATAAGCGGGGTGTCAGTCAGCCTGGTTAGGAGCTACAGTATGACAGTCTTGTGCCCTAGCACACTCAATCACGGCAGGATCTACACCCACTAGTCAAATAGCCAAGAGCATATTTAACCCCACCTAGGGTTTACTTTTCCCTGGGCCCACTGGGGGGGGAGGGATGTGCAAGGGACCTCCCCCCACATCTTAGGCCCATTGCTCAAGAGCCAAGAACATTCACAGTCCCTGCACTCAGGAGAACTCAAAGACTGCTCTGTCCAGGCCCACTGCAGCGCACCTTGCCCAGAAGGGGCGCTGTTTGTGTGCCTCCCACTGCTCTAAATCTCGGACAGGGCACGGGGTTAAGCACAGTCCTTCATGACCCTCTGCCTGGGACTCTGCAACACCACGTCACCTCCTACTCGGGGCTGTGTTTATCTGGCACAATCTAGTCCTGCATCATTTGCAGTGGAACAACACCGTATAGCAGCAACCATAGCCCAGCTGTGCCTCCACGCACGGCAGTTTTATACGAGTACTGTCGCTGCCCCGGCGCTGTCAGATCTCATTCCTCCTCTCTCTGAAAGAAATCAAAACTGACTGGAGGTCCCACGGCCTGGACCGATGGGCGCTGAACCAGAAAGCAGAACATTAAAAAAAGACAGAGAGGAAAATCAGTATCCCTGCTGACACGTGCAGGTTTGCGAATCGCAAGCTAGACGCCCACCGAATACCAAGGCAGGCACTTGAGACCGGGAGTGACACAGCTGCTCCTCCACCCAAAGGATGGGGTCATGAGTTGTGCTGTGGGATGTGGGAGGGGAGAGGAGAGGCATAAGATTGAGATTGAAGAGCAGAATAACGGCACAGCTGATGGCAAGTATCAGCTGGTAGCCGGTCGCGCTGTGCTGTGAATCAAGCTCTCACTGCAGTCCCTTTGAAACGGGTCAGACAATTCCTCCAGACTAAGCTAAAGTGTCAGCTTTGACAGATGAAATGAAAAGCATGAAGCTGCCTCGGGCACCTCTAATCCCCTACCCCCAGCCTTGCTGGTTTTTAACCATAGAGCATGTTTGGATAACAGGGTTGGATGCTTTGGATGGGAATCTAGAAAAACACAACAAAAATTAACTGGAAGGTTGCGGGGACTGGCCAAGCTTGGCTCAGTGATGACTAACTGGGGGATAAGAGGATAATCTGTAAGTACTTGGAAGGTGTCAACACCAAAGGTCCAATCCTGATCTCCCTCACACCACTTTTACCCAAGTGTAAACTCCATTGGCTTCAGTGTAGTCACTCCTGATTTGCCCCCAGGTGAGATCAGAATCAGCCACAAAGTGAGTGAGGGACTGGGCAGGGAATCAATGAATTGAAACTGAGCAAAAGGAACTGCAGGTGAGTATCAGGAAAAGCTTCTAACAGTGATGTGTGTTAGGCTGCAGAATAGCCTCGCGAGGGAAGTGGTGGATACACCATCACTAGGGTGATTTAAACACAGTCTAGAATATAATGTGTAAGAGATTCCCGCTCTGGCTGGGGGATACATGACTCTGTGTTCCAGGTACTTTCTGGCAGACTCCTCTTTATAGTTCTGTTTTGACTATGGATTTCCATGTCATTTTAGCAGCTAATGGGACTTCCCGGATCCTCAGCCTAGGGTTGTGTGAGATGCTTGACCATAACTGCCAAGTGCCCACCAGCACTCATGATTCAAGTTTGACTTGCATTTGTGAAAACTCCGCCCGGGCCCGTGAAAGTTCAGAGATGGGCTAAAACTCCCCATTCCGAATTCTAAAAGGCCGGCTGTGCCCTGATCACGTTCAGCGTGCTGTACGACGGGACTAGTCCTACAGGGAGCTCCGCTGTGGGATAATATTTTGATCTTTATTAAGTTGTGGTTCTGGGAAGAGCAGAGGTTTTTGTTTACATGCACCTTATTACGTAGTGTTAGCAGCAGTATTATTATTGTTTTATTTATTTGTATTGTGGTAGTGTCTCAGCGCCTCAGTCCTGGACTGGACCCCATTGGGCTAGGCAAACACAGAACAGAAAGCTTACAATCTGAGTATAAGACCTGAGACGGCAGGTGGAGACAGGCAGCTAGGGAAGCAAAAGGAAACAAAGGGACCATATTTGTCAGTACACCTGCTACCTAACCATTCTCAAGTGTTTTGTAGGCATCCCGGCAAAGGAGAGTTTTAAAAGTAAATTTGAAGGAGAAAGGAGGAGTTGTTAAGCTGTCTTGACCTTGTGTGATACACATTCGCTCTCTCTGCAGCGAGTTCGCCAAAGAGCGCGAGAGGGTGGAGAACCGCCGGGCCTTCCTGAAGCTCCGTAGGCAGCAGCAGATCGAACGGGAGCTGAACGGGTACTTGGAGTGGATCTTCAAGGCAGGTAAGGAGAGAGCCCTCCTCCTGCTTTGTCTCGACTTGCGTGTGCTGTGACTTGGGCCACCTTGTGATGCTAAAGAAACAACCTTGTGTTGAAAAAATTAGGCCTCTCCCCCTTTTAAATAGCATTGAAACCCCGACTGACACTGCAGGGGACACTGTCCTCGCTGCTCCCTAAGTTGCACCCACAAAATATGCTTCTGCAAACAGATAACTGTGTGTTCAAAACAGACAGTTGCACATGCAAAATGGACAAGTGCTTGCAGTGACTCGTTTTGTGCCCCTACCTGTCTCTTTGTTCATGCTTGTAACTGCTGTGTCTGTTACAGCCTGGGTGCCTGAATTTGAAAAAATGACCTTATGTATCTCCAGTGGCTTCATTTCTTTCCCTTTATTCCTTGGATGGCTTTTACCCCCTTTGCAAACCCATCCATGGCTAGCTCTGCCCCTCTGTGAATTCCTCCGAGGCATTAACATTTGCTGGGATTTGAAGAGGCGATTGCAGTAGTCAAGACAGAAGATGACCGTCGCCTGGACAAGAATTTTGACAGTCTGGTCGGAGAGGAAAGGCTGAAGCTTTGAAATGTTAAGTAGGAGGAAGAAGCAGCAGCAGTTTGTATGGTCACCTGACCCCATTATTTCACACTGTTCTCTGTAGAGTGACAAGCAAAAGCCAATTGTATTGACCAAGATTTATTGAGTGTAACTGCTCAGCGGGAACTACCCTCAATTAGTTACCCACACTTTATCTCCCTTTTAATTCTGTGGTTCCTTAGCATTCAAGAAAGGAACCATTCACATTGCTTTCTATTCCTAAATTGTCCCTCCATTTGTTTCCAACTTTGTGCTACTTCAGATTCAAATTAATTAAAGGTTTACCTAGTAGCTAGAGCAGAGGATGCCTCCGTTCTAATCCCGTCTCTAGCTGCCTTGTTTTAGGGGCCCTTGTGACTACTTGGTCTCTCTGAGCTGAGCTGTAGCCAGAGGTGTAATTTCCAGCTCAGATAAAAATATATGCGCTAGCTTTGATGGCTCCAGCATGCTAAAAACAGCAGTGTGCACACGGCAGCACAAGCAGTCACTCAGCTTAGCCACCCTGAGTACTGTCCTAGCTGAGATCCTACGTAGGTACTCTGGGTGGATAGCCCATCCCGCCCCTCTGGCTACATGGCTATATTTAGTATGATAGCTCAATCAAAGCTAGCGCGGGTATGTCTACTCCAACTAGAAGCTATACCTCCAGCTCCAGTGTAGAGGTACCCTCGGTTACCCCATTGGTAAAATGAAGATAACAACACTGTTCTTCCAAGGGTGTGGCCTGGTTTAATTCTGATTGGTTAAAGAGCTTTGACATGTTCTGCTGAAAGGAACTGCGCAAGTGCCAGGTATTACTGGAAGTGGTTGTTTGAAAATTGAGATGCGTAAGTTGCAAAACATACAGTGAAATCTCTTCCCTTAAATTTGCACGCCACTGTGGAACCTCTCCGTGGGAACGTCTGGCTGCTGTGTCACTTTGCCCCTAAATGTCACATGAGCGTGTGGTACAAATGCTATGAGATGCCTATCGTTTCCATTTTTTCTAATGACATGTGACATTTAGAACTGCAAAGCTTAAAGGAAGTAGCTGAATCAGGGAATAATAAAACACTCCTACTGAGGCATTGCTGGAAATACAATAGCAATGTAATACAGGCTCCTAGTACAGCCTGAAGGAAGTTTCATGCAGCGGAAAAAAAATAGCTAGGCTGGGAAATCATTAAATGCAAAAAGTAGCATTGGAGGCTATGCTAAAGCTGAGAAATCAAGTGCTCAAAAGTCAGGTCTTGAAATCTTGGCCCCGGTGAAGTCAATGGGAATTTTGCCAGAACAAGCTGCTTCAGAGGAAGGTGAGAGAAACATATCGTGGACAGTCCTGGACCAACCAGCCCACATGGCTACTTAAGGAATGCAGAAGTAAGAATCTTGGCATTACTAAAAGACCTTAGAGACAGTTCACGGCTGGTAAATCACCAAAGCAATGTAACTTTAACAGATGCAGAAATGGACTTACCTGAGGCTGCTTGAACGGAGGAGTTTATAACTTTGGCAGAGGCTTTTCTAGTTGAGGCATCTGAAACAAAGGTGTGCTTAATGGTGACATCCTTAATATGGGACTGCTTGCATGAGGTATACTTAATACAGGAAGCCTTAATTGAGGGGGTACTTAACAAATGCTTTCTTAACAAAAGGATAGGAAAAGAAATAGAAAGCGCTGGATTTAAATGTGCTGACTTAAAAATAAATTGCACCCATTTTCTGAAAGCTTGAATTGATTCCCCCTCTCCCCCCCGAAATAGTGTTATAAAATAAGCTAGGTATTTCTAAGCCCTGCAAATGCTAATATTTCAGCTGGAATTTAATTACAAGAGTGGTTTTGGTATTTTTAGTGCTTCCAAGCTTGAAGACAGCCAATTTTACTTAAACTTCCCAGAAGAGCTTACCTTGGGGCTGAGACCAAGCACTGATCATTTTAGCTCAACGGACTTTGTTTGAGGAAGTTGTGAGTGACAGGAATAGAGGAGCTAGTGTGGGAACTGGATCTCAGCTCTGAGTGCAGGTTTGGGAGATAAGAGTTTGTTGCGGGAGGGCTAGGCCAGAGAGGAGTCCTGCATTTGGCTCTAAATGGGGTGTGATCAATCTCATCTCTTGGGAGGGGGGAGTCTAAATTCAGCTCCTGTCTGTCTGTGACTGGGATGTGGGCGGTTGTGCCTCGGGGTTGGCACAGGAGTCATGGCTAGTGGTTAGAGCAGGGGATGGTAGCCAGGGAATCGGAGTCAGAGGCTTGGTGCCAGGGCCAATGGTCGGAGCCGGAGTCAGAAGACAGGAACTGGAGCTGAGGTTCGAGACTGGGGTTCTTGGTGTGAGGCCAAGCAGGATCGGGGCTGAGGACAGGGCAGTAGCAGGATCTGTCACAGCTGGGGGCACACGCTTTGAGCAATCATTGAACTGCTGCTACACGTAGGAGCTGGTTTGCTGATTCTTTCAATCAATCAGACGGCATAGCCAATCAGGTAGCCCACTACAGGCCAGCTGCACTCATTAGGTTGCCAGGAGACTGGCTTTGCTGACGGCCCCGATTTCTGACTCTGTCAGAGGTCTGTTTCCTGGTCCCATGAGCCTCCCCAAACTGGCTGATAGTTTCAACTCTCCAGTGAAACATCAAGTATCTAGGACCAGTCCCATGGAAGGCTTTGAATATCGGGGCAGACACCTTAAACTGGAATCGGTTTTCATTGTGGGAGCCAGTTCAGAGAGCAGAGCACCGGGGTGATGTCCTTGTGGTACCCCATGTTAAGCAAATGGGCTGCAGCATTTTGTACCAGTTGGAGCTTTTCCAGGGTATGGGGCTCCATTCTGAGATACAATCAGGTGTATTAATCAAGGCTGGAGGTTACGAGTGTGTGGATCACCATGGCCAAGGATGAAATGCAGACTCCTGCTCAGCTGCGGACGAGGCTGACTGCTTTTTACTGTCATGGCCCTTTGGACATCTGGTAGCATTGAGAACTGCAAAAGGACCCCAAAGCTGCAGATCATATTAACACTCTGAGGGCAGGTGCCTTCAACAGAGAGGGCTTGTTATAGGGGAAGTGGCTTTTCCTCAAAAAGCTTATAGCCTACATTCACAGGTGGCCCCAGTGAGAATCGCGAGCCACGGAGTGGGGAGAGGGGAGGAGGCGGGCACAAGAATAAGACCTTGGGGTTACTCATTCCAACATGTGCATGTCTTGATGGCTCCCTTGCAGTTTTGCGGGAGCGGATTTATATTTTTAATGTATGAACTCGCTTTGCATAGGCAACCCAGCGAATCTGAGTTTTTAGGAGGGATGTGGATAAGGAGAGGATGGTCGTTAGGCAGACAGATTTCAGGTGGGTGTTACATAGATAATGGGGCATTCTGAAAGAAGGGCCTGGAGATGGACATGAGAGAAGGAAGCCAACATATAGGGTCTGATTTTACTTTCACGTTGGTGTAAATGTGGTGTGACTCTGTTCGGGTTAGCAAAGATACACTAGTGTAAAACTGGGATGCAAGGAGAATTTTCATAGATTCATAGATTTTTTTTTTTAAGGTCAGAAGGGAACATTGTGATCAACTAGTCTGACCTCCTGCAAAACACAGACCACAGAACTTCACCCTGTAACTCCTGCCTCAAGCCCGGAACTTCGGGTTGAGCATATCTGCTAGAAAGAGACATCTTTAATCTGACTTAAAGACCGCACAGACTAAAGAATGAAGTCCATGGGATTTTTTAAATAAACTCTGTCCAAGGGTAATCTCTACCCACCGTTGAAATGTAGCCAGCCAATGGTGCACAATGTCTATGGATTGCATTGTTTTACAGCCCTAGACCCACAAACACAGTTCTCTTACCAACCACCACTTCCTCGGCGAATTCAACGCCAAGTGATATCTAGCTGGAAACCAGGGAAAGCTGTTGCTGTGCTGGGAACCTGCAGCCTCACTCACTCTCTGCTGGGGAAGGGTGTTTTTTCTTTGGCTCAAAAGGAAGGTGGCAAGGAGTTTATTTGAAACTATGCCCTTTAGGGGAATAAAGGAGAAGAGCATTGAGGAGACACCGATGTAATCCATGAAAATGATCTTGCCACTGCTGCTTTCTTCATTAAACTCCTCAGAGCTGTAGCAATTCTTAGGCTGTCATGCTGCATTTCTAAGGGAGCTGAGAGCTAGAACTTCCCTCTGCAAAGAGAAAAGCATTCATAAGTCCCCAAATAGTCTTTTGAAGCCATTTCTCTTATCTTAAAAGGACATGCATCATTTGAAAATGTTTTCGCTTTGGAGACTGAAAGTCTTACAATTCAGAGCGAATCAAGCCGCTTCTTGCATTTTAATTCCTTTCAAATCCATCTCCTAGCCACAGCCCTTCACCGCCAGTTCCTGTGCATTTCTTTTCCCCTGGAATAAGCGATCTTTGGGACGATTCATTTAACCTCTCTCTTCCAGCTCGTTGTCACGTGAGTCTCATGCTCCAGCATTGTGAGCTTTCAAGAGCATCAGGACGTAGCCTTTGTGGAAGATGCACAGAGACAGCAATCCCCTCACACAGCTGAGCCTAGAAGCTGGATTAATTAAAGAGAGGCGAAGCCATGCCAGAGATTCAGCGGGAGGGTCAGGGTGCTCATTCATGGGACATGTGATGAGCCCAGATGAAAGTTTAGTGGGGTTCTCCTTATAGATGCATTTTTGTCTTTCATATTTACTAGCCCCGATAACTTAATTTGATTCTTCTGCCTTGTTGTATTTCCATTGCAGCTTTAATTCCAATAATCCAGCCTTTTCCTTGGCACGCAGTGTCCTTTCTCTACATGACAGAGACTGTAGAGCAGTGGTCTCTTGGTTGTGGTGTCTGGCTTGCTAGCTTGCAAGCTCTTTAGGGAAAGGGCTGGCTTTATTTTGTGCCATGTCCAGCGCCAAGCGTATTCCCAGCACTTAATTAGTAGCAATAGGTCTAATCTTGAAGGCAGCTATCACTATGGATAGTTAAGTGCAGAGAAATGGATTCAATCTGTGTAATGAGTCATTGAATCTATTTCCCCATGTTAAGTATCCTCGTACCTTCTTGTCAAGTGTCTGGAATGGGACGTCTTGATTATCACTACAAAAGTTTTTTTTCTCCTGCTGATAATTGCTCCTCTTAATTAATTAGCCTCTTAGAGTTGATATGGCTACTTCCACCTTTTCATGTTCTGTATGTATATATATCTCCTCACTATATGTTCCATTCTATGCATCCGATGAAGTGGGCTGTAGCCCACGAAAGCTTATGCTCAAATAAACGTGTTAGTCTCTAAGGTGCCACAAGTACTCCTGTTCTTTTTTCATATTCTTTGTTTCAGTTGCAAACATGAAGTTTACACTCAAATCCAAGCCAGGCTGCTGGATTTTAGTTTTCACTGTAACTTAGGCCTGGTCTACACTAACCCCCCAAGTCGAACTAAGGTACGCAACTTCAGCTACGTGAATAACGTAGCTGAAGTCGACATAACTTAGTTCGAACTTACCGCGGTTCAGACGCGGTCCACACGCGGCAGGCAGGCTCCCCCGTCGACTCCGCGGTACTCCTCTCGCCGAGCTGGAGTACCGCAGTCGACGGTGAGCACTTCCTGGTTCGACTTATCGCGTCCAGACCAGACGCGATAAGTCGAACCCAGAACTTCGATCCCCAGCCGCCGAACTAGCGGCTGGGTGTAGACCAGCCCTTAATGTATCTAGCTGTGTGAAATAAGGCTCAGAGAAGCTACAGATAAAGCCCTGTATTATTACGGTATGCAGTCCATCGTCCAGCCAAAAGAAGATTGTTCTATATTGTACGTCTACTACTCCGTGGCTCATTCAGAAGTAAACTGGACAAAGTGACAAGGGTTCCATTACTTCCCTTGGGAGACTGTTCCACAGCCTACGGGACCTCACAGTCACGGACAACTCCTTTACTTAATTTGTCCCAGTACCTCCCATGTAATACCCCTTTCTACAATGTTAAATTATTCCTCTTCCTCCTATTTCAGAAATATCATATTCCCCTTGCGTTGTCACTTAGCCATATTTAACTCTTGTCATCTTCTCCCTCCCCACCCCACTCCTAAACATTTCTGCAGCTCCTCTCTCAACTGTCCAACTTGTGCGTATCTTTTGGATACTGAGGTGTCCAGTGATGTTGCAGGTGGAGTCACACCTGAGCCATCTAGAAAGGCACTTTCTACTTTCCTGTTCTGTCATGTGATGCCTCTACATATGCACCCAAAATTATATTGGACTCATTGGATACCTTGTAAAACTGCAGACTGATCTATCGTTTGTTGTTTGCGATCACCTGCCAGTCTCTGTCAGCACCTCTGCTTCCTGGAGCTCTCCCTCCCGCTGACTGAATGTCTCTAATTATTTTTCACTCAGATGCATTAATCTGCATTTTCCCCAGTTGAATCTCATTTTGCTCTTTTCTGCCCATATTTCTAATCTCTCTGTCCCTTTGTATTATTTCTCCTTTCAATTTTGTGTCTTTTCATTAGTGTAGCAGCATTCACTACCTCTTCCATATAATTAATAAAGATATTTTAAGACTGTTGTTAACATCCATCTCTCTAGTACAGGGGTAGGCAACCTATGGCACGTGTGCCGAAGGTGGCACGCAAGCTGATTTTCAGTGGCACTCACACTGCTCGGGTCCTGGCCACTGGTCCGGGGGGCTCTGCGTTTTAATTTAATTTTAAATGAAGCTTCTTAAACTATTTTAAAACCTTATTTACTTTACATACAACAATAGTTTAGTTCTATATTATAGACTTATAGAAAGAGACCGTCTAAAAACATTAAAATGTATGACTGGCACGCGACACCTTAAATCAGAGTGAATAAATGAAGACTCGGCACACCACTTCTGAAAGGTTGCCGACCCCTGCTCTAGTATCTCTCTAGATAGCTCCCCCAACTAATAGGTTCTTTGCTGTGTGGTCTGTTTCTTTAGCCAAATCTAAGATGATTTAAATTGTCTTTTCAAGTAGGATTTTGTGAGATACTCTATCAGATACTTTACTAAATCCAAGTGCACAGTTATGCTTAAGAATGTAAAGAAAATTACAATTTAGAATGTCAAAGTCTTGTGAGGTTCACCAGTCCCTTCTTTAAAAAACCCTTTGACAATTCATTATTGTACAGTAATAAGCCAAAACACTGTAGAACTATTTATACAAACCCTGGTCTTTTGGCTTGTTGCTGTAGAATACTGTATCGTGTAGTTTCACGTGGATGGAATTTGCCCTATTCTCTAGTAAGTTAAAGCACCACTGGTTCCATGCTTTGGCTTCAGTCAATACTAGGTTTGGACATTACCGGAGAGCATCATCAACTCTGCCAATTTGGGAGACAATTCACATAAATATGGAAAACAAAACAAGTTTTTTCATGTGTCTTATGTAGTTTTAACTGTGTCGACACAGTGGGTGAAATCCTGACCCCACTGAAATCCATTGGAGTTTTGCCATTGACTTCAGTGGAGCCATGATTTCACACAGACAAGTTGCAGATCAGTGCACAAGTGCCTTAAGTCCTGGCAATGATGAGTGAGTGTCTCAGAGACATGGTAATGGCATATGGCCTCTTTCACTGCTGGTACGATGGCTAGAATTTGACCGAGAGCGATGGTAATACAGTATGTGCTTACGCCTATGCAGATCTTGGGTCCAGGTTGGAGTGGGTGGCAGCCATTGCTCTCCAGATACTCTCCACTGCAAGCAAGTAGGTGGGGACTGGGCAGAGGGGTGTTGGCAAAGCCAATGCTCTGCCTTCTTACTTGTCTGAGGAGGTGGCTCGGTGAGAGGGGCGAAGCAAGCTGCAACCCTTCTACGGTTTTCATAACTTGCTTTCCTTCCTGAAGCAAGAAGGGCGCAAGGGAGTAATTATGACTCTCGGTGCTGCCCCTTACTCAATGCTGAGTCTAAAGACTCAGTCTAGTTGGGCGGTATGGTGAGCTAATGCTGTGGCAAATGTCCACGCCCACTGCCTCCCAGTCAGGAAGCTTTATGATGAAAATGCAACCGATCCAGGGTTGAGCGCTGCTGTTTCCCTTTTGCAGAGGAGGTGATGCTGGCAGAAGAAGACAAGAATGCCGAAGAGAAGTCCCCCCTGGACGGTAGGTCGTTTTGCCTTGTACTTTTCCTCTTGCACTAGAGGAGAGGTTTATACGCCATATGCGGATGTGGTTTTCACTGTGACCTAGCGGGTACAAGCGCCATATCTTTGCATGCAGCTGAAAATTCTGATCCCAGCCTTGGAGCAAACCCAGCTAAAATTCCCTCTTCCTGTGTAGGACTTCTTCAAAGTTTCAGGTGGACAATCAGCAGCTATGAGACATGTCGTTCTGGGATGGGGCGCCACCCCTGGGATCTGCCAGACTCAATTACACAGACAGTGTAATTGTGGGGGTCTGGTGTGCACAGGGCCCCCTACCAGCCTCTAGGTAGTGTGGAGGGATGTGACTACTTGTAGCCTTGAGGGGAAAGCTTCAATGTGGATGCCAGCAAAAATAAATAAAGGCAGGGCTCGAAATGAAGGCTTTCAAAAGGATTTCACAAAGAGACTAAGACCCCTGTCACTTTTAAGCAGTAAGACATAGCAGGGTGTGGTGATCCTATCTAATCTCACGACTCCTAGGGGCCTCATGTTAGCAGGAGAACTCGAGGGATTAAGATTTCCGACACAGCTGCCGTGAGACTATGAAGAGTGTTTTCCCCCTGCCTCTGACATCAAACTCTTAGGATGTTACAGACAGTGAACGTTCAGTTAAAGACTCTTCCCTCTCCCTTTTCTGACCATCTTTCGTCCTCCTGTGTCTCCTCCTTTCCCCTTCCCGCCCCGTCCCTCCCCTTCTCTTTTTTTGTTTCTCCTCCCATTCACTGTCAGGGAGGGCTGCCTCCGAAGGGCCTATTCAGCAAGGCACGGCACCGGCGGAGACTGGCGTCAGCAGCTACAACAGTGAGTGGATTGCAACTCAACAGGGGGTTAGGTGGCACAGTGGGGTGAGACTTTTTGCTTGTGACCTCAGATCCTGAGTACCACAGGTCACTAGGAACAAGGTTTATCTGAATCCTCCATGGCCACTGGTCCACCATGCGAAAGGATCACAAAATCTGGCGTGCTTTGGAGTGGTTGGTGATCTGCACGCAGGAGAGGCCCAGGAGTGGAAAAGCAGGGGGTTCGGCAGGTCAGGTTTGAGGTGCTTCGGCAGAGCTTTGGAGTGGGAGGGAAGTTTTGCACGGTGCTTGGCTGTAGCCGGTGCTGTTGGTTGCAATGAGCGCCTGGTTTGGAGGAATAGCTTTACAAGAGGGGAGTTGTGCAACTAAAAGAGAGACGGAGTTAGGCCACAGAATTCAGACCCAGATATTTAATGCCCCAAAGCTGGGGCCTATTGCTTCACCTGTATTAAGTCGGTATATGCAAAAATTGGATCCAGATCCCAGTTCCGATTAGAACCCTTCACCCTCCAGAGTTCGGATACTTGTGAATCTGGGGGGGTTGCTGTGAGCCCATCTCTAAAGTGAACTATGCCATCTTTTATAAGAAGGATTTTGATGCTGAGGAGGTGCTGCACCCATTATTCAATCATAGCAATGCAGCTGGTGTAGGATAAGGATCCCCTGTTCACATTACCGTAAACCCCAATTATCCTCAAGACAGTGCTGACATAGCAGATTTCCTGTATGTCTCCAGTGGACAGTTTGTATCACCACACCATGGAGTGTCTTACTGCTGGTATCAAATGGTGCTTAATCATGATATTGTTTTTAAACTCTTATCAAGACGGTATCAAAATATTTTCTGATAGTTCGCAAGGTTCCAAGGCAGGTGGTCTAAGGCTCAGAGCAGGGTTTGTGAGGCAGCAATTTTGCTTTGCCACTGACGTGTTCAATGGCCTTGGGCAAATCAGTTAATCTTTCCATGCCTCGGTTTCTCCATCTGTAAAACAGGGATAGTGATATTTACCAACCTCACAAAAGGGGTTGCCGGGTCAGGCTTATGTTTTCAAAGAGTTTTGATGTCCCCAGATGGAAGGTATTGTAGAGTGGGTGTCATTAAAAAGACATTCACCATGGGATATTATCTGCTTATCCATGGTATTTCCTGTGCTTAGGGCAACATACGGTGGCAAACTCTCTCTACTGGAATAGAGTGAATGCTGATGTTTTAATGGTGCATGCGGTAGAAAAACAGATAATAGCACTACTATCCCATATCTCATCATGGCTCAATTAACCAAGGCAAATCTCTCCTCTGCATATACCTTTGTTTAACATAAATATCACTCCGGTAGCTGGGCTGAAATGAACAATGGTGGCAGTGCCCTGCCTCCGAGCTCTAAGAAGCTACCAGATATTTTTCTTTCCCGCTGTCTTTTCTTGCCACCTCAGTCGCATTGAGACGTGGGTGGACAGAAGTCCTGCCTGGCAAACTTTCAAGATTTAGCAGGTTAAATAAATAATGACCCTGACATCAAAGCAAGCAGAGGCCACCATACAAAGCCGTAGGTTGATCCATTTGCTACGGCTTATCCATGTATGGCAGCTTTTAGTTGGCATTGGGAAGGAAATACAGGCCCCGGCGAGTGAGAGGTGGAGAGAGGATCGACTACACAATGTTTATGGTGCTTTTTTATTTTTTTTAATTTGCATGCAGTGTTGAAAAGAGCTACAATAAAGAAGAGCAAAAACGACCTGATTCATGCTGAAGAGGGGGAGGACCATTTCACAGACATTTGCTCTGTTGGTGAGTACTGGCCCAGCATTCTCTGGCGGTGTTAAGAACTCGGGCAAAGTGCTTTCGTGTCACACTCCTCTGAGCCATTCCTTTGTTTCGACAAACTGCACTTAATTGCTGGAACCCAGGGACATTTCAGCATCTGGTCCTTAACCAGCGTGCAAGGGAGTGGGAGGGGAGCCAGGAGCTCTCCTCTACCCTTCTGCACTCCTGCTTGAGAGCCAGATACAATCCCAGTCCTTGCCCTTACAGAGCCCTTGGAGGAGTCGTTCCTGCATCAGGCACAATGACTCTGGGACTCCTTCTTGGGGAATGCTCCTCCATCCATACACCACCCGCTGCGTCAGCCTGGGCCTTAAAGTGCTCTCTAGCCTCATCTGTTGTGTGGAGGCGAGGGAATGGACAACAATCCAAGCCCATAAATGAACAGTGTTCCCTGTTGGACACGTGGCTGACTTCTTTAGAGAATGGCTTGTATTCCGGATGGGCACAGGGAAACCCTGGACTGGACGTCTCTGCTAGTTCTATAACCTTTGCCCTAGCAATGTCTCTTGTTGCAGATCTCCACATTGTTAAGCCAGATGTGGAGATGAAGGGCTGCGCACAGATGGTCACCCCATGCTGACATGCATAAATCAGGTGCAGTGTGCACCATTATATGCCTGTCCCAGATCCTTTCCGTGACCACAGCATCTTCCAATACGTAAAGCAGGAATGTGATGGGGTCCAGAAACCCTGCTTGCTTTCCAGAAAACAGGAATGAATTCTCTGCTTAGACCTCACACAGGTGGACAGGGTGGAGTGATGAGACAGGGCTGGAGGTCTGCAAACTCAGGCAGCTCTCTGCTGCTTGAGCACCAGCAGAGGGGAAGGCCTTTGAGATGGTAAATTTCCACCTCCAGTAGTGGCCAGGCTGGACTATAGCCCTAAGCTGCGAACATGTCCTGATTATTTTCTGGTTAGGTATTATTTTCTGGTAAATCATTTTGCCCTCTCCCCTCTAACTGTCCTGAATGAATCCCCTAGGAAGAAACTTTGCTGAATGTGTCTTGATTTTAGTTTGCTTCTAAGGCAGCAGCTGCTCTCAGCCAGCTTCTAATGCATTACCATGCTCCCACAGACACTAAGGAGCAGCAGATCATGAGCTTTTCATGATGCCCATTGAAAATGGAGGCATAAGTGGTACCTGTCCATGTGCACATACAAATGCGAATGCACCGTGCACACTCACTTCCACTCTTTGAAAATTTGGCACTTAACGGGCAGAGGGCTTGTCAACATGGCAAGTGGCTGCGTGGCAAACCAGGGTGTGAATCTGGAGCACCCTAGCTTGCCCCTCAGTAACGTCCCATGTGGTTTCTGCTATAGCGCAGTGAAAGTCCTGAAGTGCGGCTTGGCATACAACTAATTGAAAGTACAATGAGCCAAGCTGCACTCTGGGACTTTCACTCACGGCTGGCTCTAGGCACCAGCAAAACAAGCAGGTGCTTGGGGTGGCACATTTCTAGGGGCGGCATTCTGGCGCCGGCCATCATAGGCACTGACTCTGTGGCATGGAGAAAAAGTGCCACCGCTGCCCCAGCTTGCCTCCGCTCCGCCTCCGCTCCGCTTCTCCCCCCTCCCTCCCAGGCTTGCTGGGCGCAAAACAGCTGTTTTGCCCAGCAAGGCTGTGAGGGAGGAGAAGCCGAGTGGCGGGGCGCTCGGGGGAGGCGGCGGTGGTGGAGCGGAGGTGAGCTGGAGCAGGGAGCAGTTCCTCTACCCCCCCGTTACTTCCTGCGCCCCCCCCTCTGCTCCACCTGCTCCCCTGAACGCGTCGCTGCTCCGCTTCTCCCCCGTCCCTCACCTGAGAGGCAGGGGGGAGAAGCTGAGCTGCGGCGTGCTCAGGGGAGCAGGCGGAGCGGAAGTGAGCTAGGGCGGGAGGTCGTGGG